ATTTGGTCTTTTTTTCTTTTTCTTTTTTTTTTTGTTTTGTTTTGTTAAATTGGGTTTTACGGGATTCGATTCCCTTTAGGCTTCTGCTTAGTCAAAACTGAAATGGGGTTGGTTGGGTGAGTGAGGCCAAAGATCAAATAAATGGTGGATCACTTAAAACTAATCAAAACAAAATACATAGATCGGATGTATATATAGAATATCAAAAAAAAGTAGGGCATACGAGACAAATTGGGTGGTAAAAGCTCCGTTTTCGCCATTCAATTCGTAGATTTTACCATACAAGTCAGAATCTTTCTCTCCCTCCCCCAATTGCTGCAATATGGCATTGGCATTTTCTAATGGTTTCTGTATCATAGCACTAACCTACTATAGTATAAAAATGGTATTAGTAATTCAACAAGGATTATTAATTATTAAATTGATCTTTAAATAGATCCGAAAGCTGCGTAAAGGTATAGAGGTTTTATTAGTTTAATAGCGAAGCGAAGTAGGTGGGGGGTGGGGGTTGTTATCTAAGGTAGCAGTGAGCATTGAACTGAAGTCTTTGATCAAGTGTCCTTCTACAATGCATCGAAGAAGCTTCCCCCATCCCCACACCGTGGTGATGATGATTACTGATTACTGTATGCCGCCCAGTCAGTAGTCAGTGTTTTTGGATCAGATCAGTCAGGCACAGCCGCAGGTATCCTCTTATTAATCTTCTATCAGAGGCGCCAGAGTTCAGCGGCTTTTATCTTGGCCTGCATGTTAGCAAGCACCATCCAGGAACCTCTAACGACTGATAAAAAAAAAAAAAAGGATTAATTGATGAAACCTTCCAAAATCTAATAATTGCAATTTTTGACATAGTTGCAGGTGGATTCCATTGGTCAAAATCTTCTAATAAGAGAAAATAAACCAATGTCAGAAAAGAAAATAGAGAAGCTTGGGGTAATAATTGATAAAGGCAGAGGAGGTAATTAGAAAAGGTTTCAGCAACTGCCAAAAAACTTGATGTGTGGTTTTTGCAAATTAATTGTGGTACAGTGAACTGAAAAGAATATTGATGGCCCCCTCCCCCTAATTTCACAAGGAATCGATTCTAAATTAACGGCCTAGAAAGAAAAAGAGGCCCTCATCTTCATCAAATCATGAGCAGTCCCCTATATATAGAATTGCCAATCACCTTAATTAAATGTTTTGTTCCAATCCAAGAAAAAAGATGCCTTGTTTGCCCTATTAAACCAAGAAATTAAATAATAATGCATGCAAGCTATTTTGGATCTTAGCTCCTTTGAACAATGAACAGCACAATCCCATTCTTCTAAGTTAATAATAAAAAAAAAAACTTTCTTTGGAATTACCGTTTCTCATTTATTAATATTCTCTTATTTCTTTAATTACTTATGGACAATTAATGTACATGCATGTATACGAGCCTTTGTGGGTAGCCAAGATGCAGGAACCTACGCACTCTGAATTCATTGTATTGCTTCCAATTCCCAAATACAAGTCAGTCAAAATATGTCAGTTAATTATACTCCGAATTCAAAATCTGCGAACGTTGCCTTGGTTTCCACTCAAAACTTAGTAATCACCCCGACTACCACAAGTAGGGGTGGACATGAAAAATTATCCATCAGCCATTTGAACTCTCAGTTCGTGAAAATTTGGAACCGAGCTTAAATAATAAAAAGCTTATAAATAATAATTTTAATTTGTTTTATATGTATAATAAAAAATAATTTTTAATTATGGAATAGTATTAATAAATCAAACTTAAAAATATCGAGATATTAGATAGGGGTCGATCTATTTTTCATCCAATTATAAATAGACCGAATTAAATTAATTTAACTGGATCGAAATCATGGTTTCCAGCCCTACTGTAAATTAAGTCAGCTCAAACCAACTTAACCACATAGTCAAAGAAAAGTGCTTTAGGTTTAACTTAATGATTTTAAACCTTTTCCCGTACCTTCATTTCATTCATGCAAATCTATCAAAGATATAGTAGGTTTTAAGAAATTTGGAAATATTAAGGTGCTGTGCTGTTTGGCAAGTTTTTTTGAAAAATCTTTTAGAAAATTTGATAGTCAAAAGATGTAGCAAGTTTACATAAATATTTTGACAGTTAATAGGTTATTTGGTTGGAGGTGTATCTTTTTGTGCAAAAACAAGACAAAATAAATCAAAAAATTTTATTTAGAGATTTTTAAAAATAAATTAAAATAGACTTTTCAAAATTTTCAGGATTACGGCTAAATCTTTTCCAATTAAACAGAAAAAAAGTGAAAATGCAAATTATCAAACTTCTAAAAAAACAGATAACTCATGAAAAAAGACATGCCAAATAGAAACTAATATATTATAATATTATAATATTAGGTCAAACTTGCCCATATGAAGTTCAAGAAAACTTATAAACTTGTATTTGTACTTTCTTGGGAAAATCGAGAAAATTAAAAGAATAGTACTAATATATTAAAATCTATAATTAAATGTCATGTTTATTTAAGGTATAGATGATATTAATAGGTAAGGAGTCTATGCCTCTCGTCTATTAATATTAAATTACATATAAGAGAAGGTCATGTGTTTTTCTGGTATGGTTGATGTAATATGATGTCATTACGGTCCCCACACCGGCGATGGCTGTTCCATATGCTTGTAAAACTTCTTGAAAAATATGATATCAGAATAATTTCTGCTTAATCAATTGGTATCACAAAAATATGATAGGGTGGGTTTTGATTGTCAAAACTCTTTCATATATATAATCGGGACTCTCTGTGATTAGCATATATAGCCATTGTTATACATCCTATATCAAAATTAGATTTCATCCCCAAAACTAGTCCTCACAACATCATGTATATCTGTGCATTAGGAATATCTCCATATTTGTATGTTTTCATTAATGGAAAGATAGTATTGCAAGGTTTGTGTGAGGACCAATTTTGTAAGGAAGAAATCTGGAATTTTGGATTCTCTTATTTCTATCTGATTAATTTATTGACTTATTATTAAGGCCCTGTTTGGCAACATTTGGCGAGAACGTTTTGTGTGTTCCCGATGTTCTCATAAGACATAAATGTGTTTGGTATAAGAAAAACAAAAAAAAGGTGTTCTCGCATGATAACACCTTGTTTGGGAGTAAAAAGAATGTGTTCCCAATGAACATGTGGTCCCCACGACGTTAGCCTCTATTAACAAACGCGTGTTAACAATTCACATGTAAGAGAAGGGGTATTTTGGGTATTTCACACTAAATGATAGAAAGAATCCCTACCAAACATTTTTTACTCCTCCAACTTGTCGCTACAAATCTTAGAGGAAGGAGGGACTCCCTTGACTCCAACCGAGCAGTGAGCGAATAGTAGAAAGCATCGGTGACATTTTCGGCTAGGAACGTGTCAATAGGTATGTTGTCTCGTCACCGTACCTAGTTTTGTATCGTGCGCTCTGTTTTAAATTCACATTTTCTCTAGCCAAATTCACTTGAATTTGTTTTTGTTCCCACCGCAAAGATGGATTTTAAACAATCTCTAACCAATGCAATCTAAAATCTTTTTCTTATATTATTTTGTTTGCATTTGTTATATGTTATGTCGAATGGGTGTGGTTTCTTCTCTAATCTAACGGTCATTATATGTTATACCAAATGGGTGGGGTTTCTTTTCTAATCTCATTGTTATGCTTTGTTATATCTTTTGATATATGTTGAATATCATGAAAATTGTCCTTTGTTATGTGTTATGTACATTTGTCCATGTGTTGGATTGTTATGTCTTTTATTATGTATTTTGTTACCAATTTGATGTAGGATGAACATTTTAAATTTGAAAAAACATAAAAATAGGCAAAAATAATAAAGGAATTAGCAGATCTATATGAATGGAAACATAGGGAAACTATTGAAAATTGGCAGCTTATATTAAAAAAGCAAGTTTGGTATTGGTGACAACATGAAGGCATTGCTATGACAATGATACGTGTTTTTTATGGTTAATTTTAAGCTTAATGTGAATGAATTTGCAAAACTGATGTTAAGAAATAGTTTCACTATCCAAACGCTATTTCTATTCCTGTAGAACAAAAATTCATTCTTCAAGAAAAATTTGTTAAACGTATTTATTACTCCCGAAAAGCAAAAAATAAAATTCTTGTTCTGTTTCTTAATCCTAACGGTAGCCATTTCAAGTTAATTGAAGTCTGTTAAAACGACAATTAAACTATACGAAGATGACTCCCCAAGTTGACGGCAATGTGTGTATAAATTAATTATATATTGGTTTGGTTGTAATTACAGTAATTAGGTACCCCAACCCCACCACGTTGCAAGGGTTCCACCCACAATATAATTGCACGAAGTTTCCACCTGATTGGGTAATCATTGTTGACCTATTTTTCTTTTCTTTACGTTTAGAAAGGATCATTGAAGCAAGGGTCCAGGGAAACGAAGTGAGAACAAATTAATGCATGTTGAGGGTTTGGATAAGTATGGACGGTAACCGGAGCAGTACTCAGTCACGTGATCATAGGGTTAGAGGGTATTGATGTGTGTTTAATTAGCTAGCTGTGTTTGTGATTGTGCTTCTATGAATCACAATAGATTTGGATCGACTTGGGACCTTTTGGCCCACCATTACAACTATGAGAAAATTTCTTTTTAAAAAGCAAAAACAACTAACTTTGACAAGTCCTATTATATCCTGGCCTGGCTCACTCTCCACACTCCACACTCCACTGCTGCCCTGCCTGAATTACTTTTGGAAAAAGGCCAACCCCCAACCACAAAAGGAGAACTTCAACAGCCCAAGAAGCTCCAACTTAATTACTCGGTTGAAAAAAAAAAAATGAAAATGGCGCATTCTTACTTATTGCTTCTGAGTACTTTCTGAATTTAGTTATTATATAATAATTTACTTTAAAAATTAATTTATGTTAGTCTCCAGAATCCATATAAAATAATTCATAAATAAATTTATAGAAAAGCCTCTCTTCTCTCTCTCTCTCTCTCTCAATCATGATTCATGAATGGTTTCATCTTCATCATTCAATGACAAACAAGTAATCTTCTCTCCATCTCTTTCTTTCTTCCACTCTCGCATCCCATCTCCCAACTATATAATACCCATCCCCTCACAATTCTTACTCTTCGTTCCTCACCCTCCTCCCTTTCTTCTTCTTTATTCGGTTCTTTCCAAGTTGACACTGTGCTGCGACTAACCTGCAAAGCTCGCACTCTCCATCTCAAACAAAACTCATTTCTACACCTCTAAATCCTCCAAGCCACAAAAATATTCAAAAAGTCGAGAGGTATAAGGTACTTGAAGAGAGCCAGAGAGGCAAGTGAAATGCTTGAAACAGTAAAATACCTCCTCGGTTCCGTCGGCGCAAGCGGCTTCGGCTCCAAGTCGACGGCCGATCAGGTCACCGAAGTCTGTCCCGATCTCCGCCCCATCACCGCTATCATCACAGGTAAACCGAATGCCATATGAATCAATATCCTCTCACATCAAATGTATATGCTAGTAACCTGTTCTGAGTTCTGACTTTGTTGTTTAATCCCATCCCGTTGGTTAATGGTTGCCAGGTGCCACTTCAGGGATCGGAGCTGAGACGGCACGGGTTTTAGCGAAACGTGGTGCCAGGCTTGTCCTCCCAGCTCGCAGCGTGAAAACTGCCGAGGAAGCCAAGGCCCGTATCTTAACTGAGTTTCCCCAATCCAACATCCTTGTCATGCCTCTCGATCTCAGCTCTCTCTCTTCCGTTCGAAGTTTCGTTTCCGAGTTCGAGTCTCTCGATCTGCCTCTCAATCTCCTCATGTGAGATCCCTAAATTTTTCTTAAATAAAATAACAACGTCTCTTCTCTTTTAATCTTGCTAATTAGTTGGTTTGGTTAGTCTCTGGCTCAATCCACCTTTTTTTTTCTTGTTTTCAGAAACAACGCCGGGAGGTTCTCCCACGAGCATGCAGTCACCGAAGACGGAATCGAGATGACATTCGCTACTAATTATTTAGGTACGTTAAAGTAGCTTTTGTTAAGACTTGGGATTAAAGAAACTTCTTCCTTTTCTTCTTTTCGACCCCGCCCTCTTCTTCTTTAATTTCTTTGACAACTATTTCTTTTTATTATTATTTGTAGGTCATTTTCTGTTAACGAAACTGCTACTGAAGAAGATGATTGAAACGGCGGAAGCTACAGGCATTCAAGGCCGCATAGTGAACGTATCGTCGACCGTTCACAGCTGGTTTTCCGGTGATCCGATTCGTTATCTCGAACTGATCACCAGAAAAAAAAGGTATGGACGAGGAGAACTCGGGAATTGCAGATTTTCTTGTTGGACTGATTCTATAATAAATAAACAAATGTTATTGACCTTTCTTGAAATTTGTCTCTACTCTCTATCTCCAGTCACTACGATGCGACACGTGCCTACGCTCTCTCGAAGCTCGCCAACGTTCTGCACACCAGAGAACTTGCACTCAGACTAAAGGTGATTATTTTATGGAGAAATAAAAGGGAAATTTTGTTATTGTTCTCTTTCTTTATTCTCTGACGCAGAGGAGATTTAACGGAATTAGTGATCTTGTGACGCAGAAAATGGGAGTGAACGTTACTGTAAATTGCGTTCATCCGGGGATAGTAAGAACGAGGCTCACCAGAGATCGGGAAGGCCTCATTACAGGTTAGGTCGAATCATCAATACAGATTTTAATGATTTGATTAGTATTCTAACCTAACCCAGAGTTGAGGCATTGAGAATTTCTGTCTAAAAAATAAAAATTTCCAGATCTGGTATTCTTCCTGGCTTCGAAACTCTTGAAAACGATTCCTCAGGTAATTTATTTTTGGCGTGAAATTAGAAAAAGAAAAGAAATTGGGAGATAAATTAAAATTCACCGATCTGAAAAGCTGAATATGGATGTTCTTCAGGCTGCTGCCACTACTTGCTACGTGGCCACTCATCCAAGACTAATAAGCGTTTCCGGCAAGTACTTTGTGGACTGTAACAAAGCTTCAACATCAAAGCTGGGATCGAACTCGCACGAAGCTGTACGGTTATGGTCCGCCTCTGAAGTCATGACCACCGCCGAGATATCAAAAACCAAAATTTGAAGCAATCAATCGATTCTGACTACAAGCCAGGAGGAACAGTGAGAGTGAAATACTACTGTCATCGATCAGGACAAGAAAAAAGGGTGTAGTCTTTAGTTCTAAAGTTAATTTCTAGATTACAGGCTTACAGCGGAAGGGAAGAATATTAAAAATACGAATACATGTACGTAGAGTAACGGCCTAACGGGGGTTTAGTCTTTAGAGTCTATAACCATACAGGATATGACGAATATTACTAGTCAACATCTGGCAAGTCTTCAGCATTGAGATTGCCATAATGGTTAGTTATATTAAAAAATATATAAGAAATGAAAGGGTAACGTAATATGGGATGAATATATATAGATAGATAGATATATAAAAACTAGTTAGTTTTTTCTTCTTTTATTTTTTCTTGTAAATTTTGGTGAGTGTTTATTGTACTAATTGATACAGAAGATAAATATATGCAAGAGGAACATGAGGTTTATGGGTTTCGTGTATAAATTGGGAGAGGGGCATTATATTATACATAGCTCTTGGTTTTTTTTTTTTTTTTTTCTTCCATTAGGGGCCGGGTGGAGGGAGTTGTGCAAATGGGGCCTACTAACATGCGCCACTGTGAGCATGCTTGCGTTTTATTTAAGAAGGGAACGTGACACAAGCACAAGCACAAGCAATAGAGGGTTGTAGTTTGTAGAGGCAGGGCATTTTCATTTTTCTATCTTTTATTCCCTTTCTGGTATCTACATTTATAAGAAGCTGGCGGCAGCTTTTCTTCCTCCCCTCCGACCCCTCTTTCTTCCTTGGTGGGGTTTGTTTTGTGATGGTTGTAAATGTACCATAATAAAAGTACGTACTACAGGATTTGATCATGAAATTAAAGACCCGTGGAAATAATATATATTAGATTCAGATTGGATTAATTTTCTTGAATACTACAATCTCGGTAATTGGAGAATCAATGGTTCCAATCAGAGATGCATGGTATATACTTAAAGAGATCAGCCTTTTACTTTCATCTCCTTCTATACAAATTCAATTCGTTTGCGCGGCTTGTTTAATGTTATTCTTTACATAAATTGAACCGGAATGTCTTTTTATTCATTTCACCACGAATGAGAATGGAATTTCAATTTTATCCAACTAAATGATTGAAAATAGAATGAACAATTCCAATTCCGATTTCAGATTCCTATTCATGGAAACCAAACGGGCCCTAAAATTCTTAGGGTCCCTACTCCCAAAGTCCCAAGATGGTGGACGCTGATGGGGCTGTGAGACTAGTTGTAGGCGCTGTTTGGTATTGTAGGCATTTATTCAATAAATATTTTATATTGTATTTTATCTTGAAAAATGAGAAAATGGTTGATAAACATTTATTTGGTGTTAATTGACAGTTAGTCATCATTAAATGCCATTAAGCACCCTATAAGCTGAACAGTAAATAAACATGTGAATATTGGATAAAATATTAAAAATGATAATATCCCCTAGATTAACTCTAACACAAACTAAAAAAAAAATATTTATCAATTTAATAAACAATCTTACCAAATAACATTTTACAATAAACACTATAAAGAATCAACACAGTTTCACCACAAAACCAAACATCATGATAGTGAGATGCGGATCATCCCTTGTTTCAGTTTCAGTCTTGACTGTATGAGGAGGTGGATGCTATTTGAACTGAAGTGACGCATCTGATTCTGATAACTTAATGAGACCAAATCAGCCTCCCAGAAACATCCTGCCGTGTATTGAAAACATCTCATCCTAATGATAATCCTAAAAATAATAATGTAATTATGAGAAGATATTTTCAATACACAATAAAGATGTGCTGTGAAACTCTGTGGGGAGCAATCTTGTGGGGCTGATTTGAAATCCTTATTAAGGATTATACATCTTATGTGTAACAGATCCCCGATCTGCCGGAGACCAGAAAACAATGGCTTTGTTTGTTGCGGATGCCGGTCCAGTGGAGACCACAAAACGTCGTAACGTGGAAGGAATTCTTTTTTTTTGTTGTTGACATTTGTGGTGTTTCCATGTAACGTTTAGGGCTGGCATGCTTCTTGGACGTTATTATTGAACAATTATCGACTTGCTGACTTGTGATTGTCATATCGTCGTATCCTTTGTTGATTGTCGCTAACCATGCAGTGATCTTCTCCACGACTTTGCACCTATTGTGAGTCTGTGACCGCCCAGCAGCAAAATATAGATACGCCAACACCAAATCAGAATGGCTTTCGAATTGCGGTTGATTCGAACAGTTGACCATTTGGCCAGGAATCATTCAGGCAACTGGTTTTATTTTATTTTAAATTCAGTTTATGACTAAAAATCGTTAAATTAATTAATGATTCATTGATTTAGGTAGTTAATTTATTTTTATTTTTTTATTTTTATTATTAGAATGAGTTATCCATTCAATTCAAATCGATCCAAAAACCAATAATTAGAATAATTCCATTTTTGAATCATTTTTTATTCTTAGGTTGTCATTTATCAACCCAAAAAAAAAAAAAAGTTCAACTCCTACCCCCCCACCCCACTCCCAACACAAAAAAAAAAAAAAAGTTCAATTCTATTCAACCCGACAGACTTAAAACGATTCGACCCTGTTATGCAGGTATGCAGGATCTGGGTCTGATACGTCGTCTGAATTTTGAATCCGGACTCAATTAACTCAACATTTTATACATGTTTCTAATGTTTCATCTATAATGACTTTAGTTGTTTGTTTGGAATTAGAATTTTCATTTTATAGGGGATATACAAGTCATATGATATTTTGAAAAAAGCAATAACAATAATTATTGTAGGTTATTGTGGAATTACCAAGTTAAAGCATGCTAAGGATATTGATTTTGTCAAATCTCCTGCCCAGGCCCACATTATCCGGCCCGGCACGTTGTAAAATTTTCAGGCCCGCGTTTTTGGACTTGGCATGTATATATTCTTATCATTTCTGGGCCAGGACCACGTTACTTACTTTATTTAACCCAGACAAGACCCAATAGGGCTCGGATCTGATACCCAGCCACTAATTGTCCTCACATCCCTGTCCACCAGACATAACAGCTGTGTATTCGGAATATCTCTCTGTTCATTCAGAGCAATAGTGTTCAATGGGTATCAATGTTTTAAAAAATCGACCTAAAGGCCAAAATGTTTTTGTCTCTGGGTCGTATGTCACCGGTTCGACCGTTCAGGTTGAACGGGTCAGACCGCCCCACATGTATCTAAGGTATATATATTTATATACATATATATATATATATATATATGCGCATATATGTATATATGTGTATAAATATATATTTTATCAATAAATAATGTATAATTTTTTAGATATGTTATATGTATTTTTACATTAACTTATGTTATTTTAACTCAGTTTTTAATATTTTTATTATAAAAATATTAAAAATTGTAATTTAAGGCCAAAAAAGGTTTTTTTGCAAAATTTGCATGTATTGAATATGCAACCTACAACCCGATGACCAGGTCAAATGGGTCAATAATTGAACCAACTGGGTTGGACAGTTCTTTACCAAGTCAATGGTTTTTGACCGCCTGGCAGGTTTTGATTGAACCAAACCCAGAATCATAACCTGGTGGGGGTATAGATGTGGGAACAAGTAGTGGGAACAACCAAATATATTGACAGCACTAATTGGTATTAATTAGGGTTGAGTTAGATTGGGTCAAAGGTCAATCCAATGACTCGATTGTCAAGTGTAATTCGATTGTTAGGTCTAATTAGGACTATTTACATATTGTTAAAAGTTTTGACTCTTTAATCTCTAGTATTTAGTCTTTATTCTTTTTGAATTTTTGAATTTTTCTTTTTAATTTTAAAAATTTATGGTTAATTCTTAACTCCTTTAATTTTAGCAAATTTCATCTATTTTTTCTTTATTTTTGAAATTTTAGTTATTTTTAAGGTTGACCCAAATCAATCCATGGGTCAACTCTAACCCATACATTTACAGTTAGTTTCTAGAATTTACCGGTTAACTTGAAACTCGACCCAACCCGAAATTAACCCAAAAGTGCCACAATCCAGTCTGAATCTGACCCACCCAAACCATTCCAGATCTCATGGCATGGCATCAACGAGAACATGAATCACTTCTCTTAATTTCTTTTGTTGGGCATTTTGGAAAAAAAAAAAGCTGATGGTCACAAGATTTTCTTTTTTTTATAATAACGAAAAAAATTATTAAAATCTATCTATATACTTAAAACATTGGGAGAGGAGACAGGATCTGCTCCTCACACAAGGCGCCTCACATGCACATCCTACCATGCATTGGGATCATCTCCCATACTTAAATGACTCTAAAAAATACCTAATACCCAGACGTGATGCCTAGAGATGGCCTATGATTATTTTAGAATTAAATGAACTAAATGCATGGATTGATAACTAAAACCAAATTAACTTTCTACATGTATATGTAAACATTATTGATGCACGCTAATTTCTAATGCATTTTTTTTTGTTTAAGAATAGTAGATGCTTGGGGTGAAAATCTAACGACTATAATACAACAATTGTGAATAAAATTGAACTAAAACTGAATGAATGAAAAAGATAAACTAAAAGAAAAGAAAAGTTAAATGATTTCTAGATTAATAAAGATTAGTAAAAGCTATGAGATGCAAATGCACATGTAAATGATTAAGAACTCTAATAATGTCACGTTCTGATCCTACTTGACTACTGATAACAAAGTAAAAAAAACCAAAAAAGTAATCAAAGTTAAAAAAAAAAATCAAAGTTCTAATTTATTAAAAAAACAAAGATTCAACTTATATTCATATGGCACTAACTAATGGAGGTAACGATAAATGAAACACGAATTAATTTGTAAACCTATTTAGCAAAACCATGTCTATAAATGAACAATATCATCTTGATCTGATCTGTTATGGGAATAGAGCAAGTCTTTTGTGTGTCTCTTGCAACGACTGTTCTTTCTTTGAGTCTTCTTGTTTAGAAATTTATTGGAATTCTGAGTTGTCACTCTGCGTAATATGTAGCCCAAGGTGTAGAGAACGCTGCTGGAGATGTGTATGCTTCATTGCACCATTTTTTGCTTTAATAATGCTTTCAGCTTCGTCTCTTTGATGTATACACGACTTGGGGAGCTCTTAGACTGAAACACAGATATGGGGAGACTCTAGGGACATGAGAGATGGTGGAGAAAGAGTGTAGGACATGGGTTAGAGAAGCTTGGGGCTGTTTGGGATGTGAAGGGGGTATTCCCTACACTAGTGAGTGTAGGATCTCTAGGCTTTCTTGTGCGTTTTGGATGTGAGAAAGGCGTGGTATTTATAGATTTATTGAGAGGGGAATGAAGGGCTGAGATGGAAGATAAGGAAGATCAATGGCTAATGTTTGAATGGTTTTTGGAGGGAGATTGATTGAGAGAATGGGCTGTTAAGACAGGTTTGTGAGAGATTCTCTCA